TACACATGAACGGATGGACTTGAATCTCTCTTAGTTAGATTTTTCATGCTTCTTTATAGTGTATGGTTTTGTTTAAGGCTTTAAAAAGTTTTTTAATTCATATTATATTCTGTACGTTATGATTCTGCAGGCTAGCCTACTAGATCAGACAAGACCTTTCATTTTAATTGGAAACAAGATTGATGTAGATGGTAGAAAGAGTGGTATATTGGATGCTCAATTCAGTTCTTTATAGAGATTTGATTAATTTTGTATTCCAAATCTTCCATTCTTCTGTTTGTTTGTTTTTTCCCTAATATCATGCAGGTTTCCATGAAGAGAGCTGAAGAATGGTGTGCTTCCGGTGGTAATATACCTTACTTTGAAACCTTTGTAAAAGATGATTACAATGTCGATGCTGCTTTTCACCATGTTGCTCAACTTGTTCTACATTCTGATCTGCCCAAGTCAGTATTCTCAGTTACTAGTCTGCATTTGTCATAGTGATGATCTTTGATCTCATCATTATTACTTCTTCTTGTTACATTTTTTTTGTTGATTCACTAGAGTTTATACTTTTTAGAATACTTGTGAAATCCTTTCTAAGATTGAATGTAACACCATAATTAGTCTTACATCGAAACTGATAACTTCAGCATAAGCATTTTGAGCTAACAGATCAATTATGCCATCAAGTCGGGTCGTTTTGACTCCAATACCAATTGTTATGACCTGGCCTGATAGGATAACTAGTACGTTAACTTCGTTGAGCTCAAACTACCGTATCAAAATGCTTAAGCTGAAGTTACTAGTAGTATACTCATCAGATTTTTATAAGTCAATTTTAGTCATAGCCCACTTTTGATATGGGACTAATCGGGGTGTTAGATTGAATGTACTAGCCATGCCACTTCTTCTTTAGCTATACATGCTAATTTCCTACAATGTAATGATAGATCCTTGTATGTGGTGAGTGACTTTTGATAGTTAACAAAGCTGGACCTGCATAAGCCTATGCAGCTTGTCTTGAAGATATGAAGACAGTCTAGAATGTTATCAAGGTGAGTACTTAAACAGAGACAAATCAGTGTAATGAAAGGAATAATACTTAAACAACTACAAAAAAAGTGAAATCTGTTTAAGTACTTCAACAGAGACAAACAAACATGGGATGGACATTGATACTCATTTTGGAACCTACTTGGGTATAGAATGATCTTCTGTTACGATAACAGCACTATTTTTTGTGAAGTTTATTGTTTTGCAATTATTGCTTGTGTTTCCAATCTAAACCGGCTATTGAATCAAATCTAAATTTCTACAAGCTATGAATGATTTGGAAATGAGATTTCTCACGATGTTTAATATTGTAGATACAATTGAAGGCATTTAGGCATTAGATGATATACACATGATTGCTATGGGGTTGTCATGCGATTGAACTAGTGATAAATCAATGACTTCCTTTTAGAGAATTCTACAAGAAACTGATATATTTTTCATTGTTATTCTGGTAGACAGTTAGGTTGTAGTTTAGGAAATGACGTGAGGCATCTGGTAAATCATTATTTGGTCTTTAGGAACCTACTTGGGTATACGTTGTAGTTTAGGATATGACATCATTCATCAAGATGTCTTTTCCAATTTGCATATCCTGATGTTTTATCCAATCTGTATATCCTGATGTCCTATCCAATCTACATATCCTGAGATGTACTTCTAAATAGTTGTTCAGCTTAATGTTTGTTTCAGAAGATAGTCTGCCTGAATATTTATTAAATAGTCTCTTATTTATTTATTGATCTTCCATAAACTACCATCTTCCTTTTTAAGCTTGATCATTTTCTGATGCTCACCATTGTTTTATAGCATCTTTACATATTTGCCACTCGAAACTTTCAAAATATGATATTATGCATCACAGATTTTCAAATACATAGTGGCATTAGAAAATCATTATTTGGTCATCTATATTATCGGGTTGAGTGGCAAATATGCTTGGAATATTTGTTTGGTGGATGTAAATGTTAACTAATGATATAAATTAGGTTGGACTGTAACCAATAATATATCTAGAACATATACCTCATAAAGCTGGAACTAATATTTTAAGTATTTCTATTTATGTATATGATAAATGTGAACAAAAGGTATAAAAGGAAGTCATTGACAGTTAAAAAATGACATATGTGATCAAATATTAATTTTTTAGTGGGTGAATTTATGTATTTTTAAAGAATGTGATAATAAATATTGTAGTATGAAAATTTTGAGCAGACAATATGTAAAAGAAGCGTATTCTATTTTGCTCAAAGTATCTTAGGAAAATCCAGAAGCATTAGAGGATGTTGTTTCCATGTGATGATGAACTAAATAATGTTGCCAAATGCCAGATTCAAAAGCTAATATTTTCCCTGATTTTGAGCACAATTTGACTGTTTCATAAATCTTAATCTATTGGCAGAACAATTCCAGATCCTGCTTCACATTCAGAGCAAAGCAGTTGTTTTTACTAGGGTAAGCTGCTGCAGATTCAGCTTTAACTAACATCTTGCTCTGCTGATTAATTGGGATCTTGAAACTTCATTCATGATTTTGGCCATTTGCATTGGCTGCTATGCCCATATGAATACTATATGCTGCGTCTAGTTTGTGATACATGCTTCCTTGGCTCTTGTACGATGTCTTTTGCAAGATCTATAGGGAAAGCCACCTGCCACAAAAGACAACTGGGAGCCGCCAATAGAACAAATCCATTTCTTGTTTATTAAATTGCATACCTTTTCTGTTTGGCAGTAACATGAGTGACACTAAACTAGTAAAAATTTATAAAATAGTTCTGTATAATCCTATAGAATTTCATTATGATCAGGCAAGAAACTAATATATGATGTGGAAATATTCAGCGAGTTTCACAGAACCATAAATATTAGACAACCAGAATTTTCTTGATTATTTCAGGGAAAATTTTGTCCTCAATATTTATAGAAAAAATAACATTGTCTAATTGAATCTCATAAATAATTTAAGAAATCGATAATAAATTGGTCCCTTTGGCAACTTATATTGTTCTTCATCAGGTAAAATCCATCATAACGAATCTTCACCTCAGTTTTGTTACTAAATGTACAGCTAATTTACAGATTCACCAGTTTTCCTTGTCTTAATAGACTGATGAATTCCTGATATATGTTGTTAAACAGTTGCATAGTTCTGCACCTGAAAACTGTATGAGTACATGATGTAGCTCACTGTTCTTAGAGATGGCTCCTACTGGAAAGACTTGTAAGCTTCCAAGCTGTGATAGTTATTCTGAGGGTTTACAGTTGAAAATCAAATTGCCATGTCGTTGGCAACAATTCTTCTGCATTTACTCAGATTCCAGTTTCATCATTTCCAGAAATTCCATCATGCAAAACTAAAACTCTAACCATGCATCATTTTTCCATGCCTTGTAACTGACATTTTATTTAATTTGAAGATTTGTGCACCTTTTTTCTTATCCTTTTATTCTTTCAAGAATTTATCTTATGATTTATGCTTAAAGGAGATTGGACCAAATGGCGATCCTTTTTCAATGTACTTATAAGGTTTTTCTGGTAGTCATATGCTGAACTCATTTATTTGGCATCTGAAATCTAAACTTCACCCCTTTGAAGGAATAATTGTGGTTTCTGTTAGATATCTTGGATATATTGATTATGCGGCAATCTTCTTCGGCGTCATAGGCAAGGTGGACATTGTAGCAGTAGTTCCATCAGCAGGTTCGGCAACAGCTGCAAGAGTGGAAGCAAGTGGTATTGGAGCTCTTAGAGAAGCAGCAACCCATGGCTGGTGGCAGAAAAGGTCTGGGAATAGATGCTCCTGTTGCTGTTGCTGATCGCTTAAAAGAGGATTTCCACAAGATTCTTCATCAAGAACAACATTTGTAATCGATAACATTAAGGACTGAAATTTGTTATGATCTTTCATTTTTCATGGCTATCTACTATTTTCTTCCCTGCTACAAATTCCTTCTGGTTACTCCAATCTCTGGTTTTCTCGGAGGGAAAAGTAAATTGGCCAATGCTATGCTTGAACATTGACTGTTCATGATTTTAGGAGAATTATTCTACACAACGAACAGAAATATTAGTGATGATTCGGATTCAATAGTGTTCTCAGCTAATAATACAACATTTCGTCCGATGGTGTGTAATTTTCTTACATAAAAGAAGAAAACCTTGTTGTGTAATTAAATTCCATCTGCTTTTATAGCTAATAAATTGTGGTAGAAGAGCAGACACTGCACAATTTCTCAATTACCTGTTCTTGAAAGACCTGCAAATTTTATGTGTCTAGCTACAACTGCAATTTCCATATTACTTATTATTATTGATATTGTTATCATTACTCTCACTATTATGATTATTATTATCATCATCATTACTTATTAGTTATCATTATCGTTACCATCAATGTCATCAACAAACTTGATTCCTTGCAGTCGATGACTCATCCCAGACCGTTCGATCCAGATGATCCGAACTCATCAACCCTTAAGATTCAATCCCCGATCATCAACCGTTGCGTGCATCGTGCACGGCCCTGATCGCCCGTGACGGCTTAAAGCGTGGGCTTACTTATGGTGTTACTCATTGTTAGGAAAGAACAAAGAAAAAGCATAGAAGAAGTATAGGTAGTTGATCAGTTAACTAACGTAACAGAACCCCAAGCAGCTGCTATAAAATGGATTCCCCCCTTCGCTTTGCTTTCTTTCTTTGTTTTGTTTTGTTGTGTGTGGTGATTGCTTTCCAGTCGATCCCTTCTCCCGTCATGGCCTCCGGCAGCGGCACCGCGCTCAAGATCATCATCCTTGGCAAGAGAGGGTAAGGGGCTTCTCCCACTTATTCTTCTTCCCATCTTGATCTCTCCTATGTTTGTTCTACTTCGGATGTTGCGTTTGGTTCGTTCGGTTCTCTAGGGTTCTTTCCCCTTTCTTTCTTGGTCGTCCTCTAATTCTTCTTTGTTTCATTTGCTTTAATCTTTAGTGTGGGCAAAACGTCATTGATCAATCGGTATCCTTGACAGTTTCCCGCGGGGCGCTAGATTCAATTCCTTCTGCCAGCTTACTTGCTTGTACAGGCAATGTGGAACCGAAGGAGGTCAATTTTGGTAAATATTGCTGAACTGTTCCATTAGATACTTAAGGGTCTATCTATTATTAGTTTTCTTTGTTGTGGATTTCAGTGAGATGTTCAAAATCCTTTCACCTCTGCACATCTTGAGCAGCAATTTAAGGTTCTTCATTTGTGCTTGTTATATATTTCGATATAGGTGACTCATAAAGTGTAATTATTCCCTTGTTGGAGTGGTCTATCATGATCTCTGTTTCAAAGTGTTGAGGACGTGAGTTGCCGGTATACTCTGTATATAATAGTTTTGCTGGTTGGCATGGGGACAGTGTTCAATCTCTGTTTAGTGGTTTCTTGACCTCACCATTAGATATGTGCTCAAGAAGTTCCACGAGCAGTATGTGGCCACTTATGGTGCTCTTTTTGTTACCAAGGAAATTCTAATTGGTGACGCACCTGTGACCTTACAGGTGAGCTCTTATTCAAATCATTCACCCTGATATTCTTATTTGCTATGTTTCTTCCCATTACTCCATTATTTTTAAGTTTAGCTACTTTCTTTTGTAGATCTGGGATACTGCAGGACAGGACAGGTTTCAAAGTTTTTGTACTCCATTCTATAGATTGGCCGACTGCTGCATTTTGCTCTATGATGTCAATGTTGGAAACTCATTTGACACTCTTGATTCCTGGCATGATGCACTTTTTAACCAGGTATGTTGCTTCAATCTTAGTATGTTTGAAGAAACCAACATTACTTCAATATGTTGCTCATCCCACCAAAAATTGGCTTCAAGATATTTGGAGATCTTTTCAAAAATTTGCTTTCCATTATAAAGCATGACAACCCTAATTTGTGCAATTATGCTCTTTGCCAGCGGGGGGATTTTTTGAGGTGGTTGATAGCAGGTCCATAAAGAACATGAGAAATTTGTTACTCGGTTTTATGTTTTTACTTAATATTTTTTGCTTTCAATACTACATGTCTTCTGATAGTTGGTAAGGGTGCATAAAGAACAAATCAAAACATCTCTCTTTTTTTGTTTGTTTGGACATTGTTCTGTTGCATCAAATTTATTTTGGAAAATTTGACGCATAAAGACTACCTGCTTATGCTTTTCACAAAGAACATTTTATCTATTTGCTATTTTAAATACTTTAACAGTTTATTTTGGACACACATTTTTCCTTTTTATAATACTGCTCTGCTTTACCTACTATACTAATAAGTTAGTAAAGTAACTTTGGAGAACATTGACCAGATCATTCTTTATATGGTTCTTAGTTGTCTCATTTTTTTTCGTTTTCCCATGTTTTAGTGTATTATGAGGATTACATGTTTATTTGACTCATTGGCTTGGCATTTGAGCATTTTTTCATTTGCTTTCGTGTGTTTCCAGTATGACATCTGCCAAAATAAATGTTATACTAAAGCTTTTGGAAATTGCAATCTACAATATGTAGAAGGCAATTTTCTTCCTAAAGATTGTAAGAGGTAAATTGTGGTGATTCTTTGTTGCTACTTGTTAGATGATACGTTGGGCGCTGGCTTGAAATGATTATTTTTGCTTGTTCCTCATGACAATACTTCTTCAAGTGTTGAAATGAGTTTCTTTGGTTCAGAGGTGCCAGATTCTGGAACATTCATGTACCATATCTTTTAGTTTTTACCACCCTCTGGTCAGTGATAGAGTATTGAACGAATAGGATGCCTCTTTTTCACTTTCTCTACAGGTGCACTCTGTAGCAGATACAACCTATAGAGCAAAAGTAACCATTACCATTCTGAACAGATATGGGAAATTAATGGTCCTTAGGGAAAATGATAATGACTGACAATTTAGACCTTACTTCACCTCATCAGATTGTTTAAAGATCACAAGAATCACTAGATGTGAATTATTTAGAGGATCTGATTCTTCCACAGCTGGCACACGTGTGCAATTTAGATGCTCACTCAGTGGTTGAAATGGGAATAAAAAAAATTCGAGAAACTAAAATCTGGTGAGGCTAGGGTGGCTCATTTCTCAAACGGCATGCAGAACAAAATCTTGGATTGTGTGCTTGCTTTGTATTTTTGAATGACAAACTTTCATACTTTTTGGTTTCATTGAAGTTTTAGCTTTTAAGCTTCTTTTATTTTAACATGAAAGGAGTGAAATTGTTAAAAGTGGTACCGCGAGTTTATGTGGCTTCTGAATCTTCTCTACTAAACATGCGGACATATGTACCAGATGAATCCGCAGGATAGACCACTAGATCTCCCAAAACTTCCACTCATTTTACTTGGGAACAAAGTTGACGTTGCCGGTGGCAAAAGGAGGGTGGTACGGTGGAGGATAGTCAATTAAGTTATTTATACAGCTATGGCTTTTTTTTTCCCTCTCTTAATCTTCTATTTTGCTTGTTTCATATATATCATGCAGGTTAGCATTAAGAGAGCAGAAGATTGGTGTGCATCCAATGGCAATATACCTTACTTTGAAACCTCCGCTAAAGTCAATTTCAATGTCGATTCTGTTTTTGTCCATGCTGCTCAATTTGCTCTGAATCCTGATCTCGGCATGTAAGTACCTAGGATTAATTATATTTAACATTGTTGCTTCTCATTGTTGTATGTTTCCTTGTTGGACTTGCTACAAGTCAGTATACCTTCTAAAATTTTTATGAAATTTTTTTCAAGTTCATTTTCTTGAAGTGAATTTCCTTTTTTTTGCAAAGCATAAACATCATAGTTGTTGGAGTGGATTGAACATGCAGGCCTTGTGATACAATATGGTGAAAAGTAGATCCTTGCATGTGATAAGTGACTTCTAATAGTCAACAGAATTGGACCACATAGGCCTGTGTAGTTAATCATGAAAATACATGATTATTTTATAGATGTTGTCAAAACAAGTATTTATAGATGAATTAGCATAACGAAACAGCTAAGTGTGGAGATTCATACTTATTTTAGAACCTGTTCTGGCACAGTATGATCTTTTAACATGGTATGGTTATTATTTTTTGGAAGTTGCCTGGACCCACAAAGATTGCTTCGACTTCTAAGCTAGAATATCCATCAAATCAATTTTAAGTTTCCATAAGCTAAAAATGAATATCTTTTTATGCTTTTCAAATGGGAAACTTTCATTCTTATAATTATGACGGAATGAGTGACATATATGACGAAATGATTTTCAAATGGTATACATTATCAGAGAATGCGATGGTAAATATGGTATGCTGAAAGTTCTCAGTGGCAAATGCAAAGTCCATATATTATATTGATTGTATTATCTTTGGTTAGAAAAAACAAGAACCTGCTTACCATGCTCAGGGAGCAATAGTTAAAGATTCACACATCTTACCATCTTATCTGCAGCACCCTTCGAGAACCCGCTTCAGACAGAGCAAGGAAGTAGATGTGCTTGTTAGGTTGAGCTGCTGCAGATTCAGGACTTCATAGTGGCTTGATCTGTTGATTGATCGGGATCTCGCATGATTCGTTCATGAATTCAGGTCTTCAGCAAGATCCGTAGGCAAAACGACCTGTCAGAAAAGAAAAGAGAAAGCGGTCGTTTTAGACGCATTTTGAAGTCAACCATTCTTGAAGCAGAGTACAATAGCCAAAAACATAGGAATCACAGTTGATCTCTTGATTTTTCTTTTTCCCTTTTTTTTTAATATCGATCATATACTGCCTATGCAGGTGCCAACCTCATTCCACGATGTCAGATGCTCCAACGGCCCCCCTTTTTTTTTCTCTGAATAAAAGTGGAACAAAAAGACTAAATAATGAGAATGACTTTTGGATTCAAAGACTAAATAATGAGAATAAAAGTGGAATAAAAAGACTAAATAAAAAGATTGACAAGGCCATACGAAGACTTTGACCAGAAGGTACATGCATAAAATAATGAGAATGACTTTGGATTCAAAGACTAAATAATGAGAATAAAAGTGGAATAAAAAGACTAAATAAAAAGATTGTCAAGGCCATACGAAGACTTTGACCAAAATGAGAATGACTTTGGATTCAAAAATAAAAAAAGTAGGCTTACTAAATATTTTATATTTTTATCTTTTCTGATCGGAAGAGGCCTACGCATGTTGTCTTGTCAATTTTTGAAGACAAATGGAAAAAAGAGGATGGACTCAGTTATATTTATTGTAAAAGAGGATGGACGGTGAGATCGAAGTCATCATTCATCATAATCATAAATTTTCTTTTCATCTTTCCCATTAATTATGACGAGAAGAGGAAGATAATCATAAATTTAATTCTCATCTTCTAAGGTATAAAAAGAGACTCATTTGAAACTATTGAACCTAAAATTACTAACTTACAATTGAAGGGACCAAGTTGGGAGACCCCTCTCGATCTCAGTCTTTATATAGGTGGTATCTCGGGCGTATGATATTTATATCTTGGGAGCACGACATTTGCACCTCGGGAGCATGACATTTCTACTTTGGAAGCATCTCAAACATTCTTATGCACGCGAGTCTAGACTATATTGAACTGACCAAAAGGTCAACGATATTTTTTCCTAACATTTTTGAGCTAGAAAAAGGGCCTGATGTTGCAGTAATATCCATTTACCAACCCTCTCAACGAATACTCGAGTGAGGAGGCACTACCCTTAACCTGTAATAATTTCGCTCAAGGAGCAACAACCACCCTTTCCATATATAGATGCATCCACCTCGACGCAAACACTAATACGATATAGACAACTGTTCAATGACCCGAGCCTCTCACCCTCAAGAGCGACCTTGAGCCACCTGCTCGTCCCTATTGAGGTGTTCCTAAACGTTATACAATAGGTGCAAATGTTAATGGGCATAATGCAAGTTGATATTCTACTCTTGCCCCAACTAGCTCAACAAGTGATGCTGCTAACTCAACTAGCACCACCGACACTAATGTCCAACAGGAGACCCCAACAAGATAAAAGGGGATAGCAAAGCGATATCATGCCCCTATTTATGGATAAGATATCCTTGTTCAACTGACAATCCTCCTCGATGGTAGAGGTTGAGGACATCAATTGTGATGGCTGTTAGGATCGAGAGCACTAAGAGGGGGGGGGGATGAATTAGTGCAGCGAAAATCTTACAACGATTTAAAACCAAAAGCTGTGTTCGTTCAATAAAAACTATTATGATGCAAAAGCTAATTCTCAGTTTGTATCTAAGTGTAGTTTGCGTCTAAGCGCAGATTGCGTCTAAGCGCAGTTTGCGTCTAAACACAGTTTGCGTCTAAGCGTAGTTTGCGTCTAAGCGCAGTTTGCGTCTAAACGCAGATTTACGTCTAAACGCAGTTTTACGTCTAAACACAGATTTACGTCTAAACGC